GTCGCGGCTGCAGACGCAGGCAGTGACATACCCCCCTTCAGGCAACTCAGGGTACTAAGGATCAGGAGCGAGCTTCAATTTATATAATAATGCCTCACGCCCAAGAGCTCTAGCCACTTCACAAGCGGAGGACCTGGGTTTTCTCCTGTATTGGAGAGCGGAGGTCACTCCAGTGAGCGCATCACTCCACTTTGGCTGGTAATTTCAACCTCCCCCAGAATAGCAAAGGCGCAGATTGGACCTTTTCCCTCTCTCTTTGCCAATTTCCATTCTTCAACGGAAGCGGGGGCATTTTCTGAAAAGGTAAGTCAGCATGAAAAAGAAAGCATGACCAAAAAACATTACAGAATGGGAATTGAGCTTTTTCAAAGCAAAGACTGGCTTTTATTCCTCATTTCTTGCAATCCCCTCACCAAGCCCGCTCCCTTTAGGAAGGTTTCTCCCACCTAAGGTTTATTGAATGACTGGATACATGAATAAACACCCTGTCAGAGTGCGACCATCTAATCCAAGGCAATGTGATACATGAGGAAAGAGGGCCAGAGAGGGATAGGGATGTGTCCAAGGTCACACAGCAGAGCCCTGGGGTTGGAACCCAGGAAACCAGCACCATCCACGCACTTCCTTATATTCACATCATCTCTGCTAATAAATAGGCACAGATCATCGTCAAACCCAGGTGTCAGAAAGACTGTTTTCTGCTGCAGGACCAGGGATGCGGGGATTAACAAGGGAAGGATGGATGTCCCTTCAGGACAAGGATTCTGGGAACTCAGAACTTAGGGTGTCCTTATCTGACTAATTGGGGGAGCCTTTTGTGTTCATGGGGACACTGGTGTTCCCCAAACCAAGTGCATCCTCTCTCCAGTCCCACTGCTGAGGAAGGGGCACCAGGTGGCAGCAGTATTTCAGAGCAGTGGTGTTGGCGCAGGGGCCACTGAGGGATGCAGCCTGTGAGCTGGGTGGTGGGGTAAGGCATGTCGCTCCAGACACGGTCTCCCAGTATCTTCCTGGCTGAGCTCTGCTCTGTCCCTTTCCTGTTCTCTTTGTGCCATGAAGCAGCAAGTCAAGCACTGGTCTGGAAGATCCTGGAAAATTTGTCACTTCCTTGCTGGGCAGCCCTCAGATATTCACTTGTACCTCCTGAGCCTCAGTTTCTTCTTCTGTAAAGTAGGACTGACAGTATCCTCCATTTAGATGAACTGGGTCAGCGGGAGGGTGAGCTGTAGAAGCCTAGGGCAATCCCAAATGTAAGGCTTGGATGTGCCAAGTGTATCACAGGCCAATTAAGGAAGGGGCTCTTCTTGAGTGGTTTCACAGCTGTGCCCCCTGTCCTCGCCTCTCTTCATAATCCCCAGCCCTAGCTGGACTTCCATGTGTCCCCCAAACCTACTGGGGACAGAGCTGCAGGTGTAAGGGATAGACTTCTTGGGGAATCCTACATTTCAGGCATTCCAAGCAGCTTCTATCCCGAGGCTCTGAAGAACCAAAAAACGTGTGCAAAAGATCCAGATGCAGCAACTTACAAGGTACCCTTCTCAGCTTTCCCAGAAGCTCCCCTGGTGTCCTCAGGTGTCACTTGAGTTGTGAAAAACAATGCACACAGGCACATGTGCATGCCACATGCACACCCTCACAATCTGACTTTCGGAAAAGGGGCCAGTCAGGTTGGTAGTTGTAGGACAAAAGAAGAGAAAGGTTAGGGACTATAGGGTTCAGTTTCGGGATCTCCTGTGTCACTAATGATCAAGTATGAATATGTTCAACAGCTCACCAGAGGATATTTGCATTTATAAACCTTTCCTCAGGCCCCCGTCTTGCTATGAGAAACAAAGAAATGACTCTCTAATGGTGGAATTCGTGTATCAGGGCTCCCAGAAGTGGAAGAAAACTGTCTTTGGGGAAAGCAGACAATCAAGTCTCAGATGATCTGGCGCAGGGGCCACTGAGGGATGCAGCCTGTGAGCTGGGTGGTGGGGTAAGGCATGTCGCTCCAGACACGGTCTCCCAGTATCTTCCTGGCTGAGCTCTGCTCTGTCCCTTTCCTGTTCTCTTTGTGCCATGAAGCAGCAAGTCAAGCACTGGTCTGGAAGATCCTGGAAAATTTGTCACTTCCTTGCTGGGCAGCCCTCAGATATTCACTTGTACCTCCTGAGCCTCAGTTTCTTCTTCTGTAAAGTAGGACTGACAGTATCCTCCATTTAGATGAACTGGGTCAGCGGGAGGGTGAGCTGTAGAAGCCTAGGGCAATCCCAAATGTAAGGCTTGGATGTGCCAAGTGTATCACAGGCCAATTAAGGAAGGGGCTCTTCTTGAGTGGTTTCACAGCTGTGCCCCCTGTCCTCGCCTCTCTTCATAATCCCCAGCCCTAGCTGGACTTCCATGTGTCCCCCAAACCTACTGGGGACAGAGCTGCAGGTGTAAGGGATAGACTTCTTGGGGAATCCTACATTTCAGGCATTCCAAGCAGCTTCTATCCCGAGGCTCTGAAGAACCAAAAAACGTGTGCAAAAGATCCAGATGCAGCAACTTACAAGGTACCCTTCTCAGCTTTCCCAGAAGCTCCCCTGGTGTCCTCAGGTGTCACTTGAGTTGTGAAAAACAATGCACACAGGCACATGTGCATGCCACATGCACACCCTCACAATCTGACTTTCGGAAAAGGGGCCAGTCAGGTTGGTAGTTGTAGGACAAAAGAAGAGAAAGGTTAGGGACTATAGGGTTCAGTTTCGGGATCTCCTGTGTCACTAATGATCAAGTATGAATATGTTCAACAGCTCACCAGAGGATATTTGCATTTATAAACCTTTCCTCAGGCCCCCGTCTTGCTATGAGAAACAAAGAAATGACTCTCTAATGGTGGAATTCGTGTATCAGGGCTCCCAGAAGTGGAAGAAAACTGTCTTTGGGGAAAGCAGACAATCAAGTCTCAGATGATCTTTCCAGAGTTGACGAGGCTCCTTGCTGACAGGCAGGGGATAATTATTTTGTGTATCTCAAGAGCCATGTTTGACTAAGGTGAAGCCCAGGCTTTGGCTGGATATTCAAGAGTCTTCTTGGTGTTCTGGGCTGGGTGCCACTCCCAAGAGCTGGCTTCTCTCAGGAACCTGACAAATAACAAAGGTCCTGATGCACTAGACTTCGTTTTTGTTGTTGTTGTTGTTTTGTATTTGTTTGTTTGTTTGTTTTTTAGGGAAGGGATTGGGATGAAAGGCAAAAAAGGAAGAGAAGTAGACGAATTCTCAGATCTTTGGTTTTTCATATCTTCGTTTCCTAAACCAGCCTGAGTTGCTATGTATAAATAGATGGGGATTCAGAGCTTGGAAGATGAAGCCTCTGCAGTCTGAACAAGGCTTCTGGTTGTCTCCACAGTGTAGTATGACTTTCATTATTTTCCCAGGACCATCCTTCCATGGTTTCCAACAAAAGGTTGATGATTCTGAGAGCAGAAAGGTCAGCCTGGCTTGCATACTAAGCAGCCCACTTCCAGACGTGCATTTGGTTGCTGTAGTCTGAGACGACAGCAGGAGGGAGTTGCCAGAACAGCAGTCGGGCAGTCCAGAGACCTGGGCTCATGTCTGGACTCTGACACTCATGAGACCCTGTATGACTATGAAGAAGCCATAAGCTCACTCTTGGGCTCAACTTCCTTCTTTGTAAGATGGTAAGGTTGATGTTGTATTTCAAAGGGCACATCCCTGATCGTACATTCCAAATCACATGTATACATGAGTCACATGTATGCTTATCTTCCTGAAGGATCAAGATGCTGCCAAACACCTGGGGTCTCACCCCAGGAAGAAAGCTTTAAGCCTAGTCCTTGATGCAGTCTGTGGTGTTTGCATCATTGGATCGCACCAGGCAAGCAGCAGCTGGAATTGTTCTGAGCCTACATTACAAGGTGACAACAGGGTCCCTGTACAAATCGGAACAGACATAATGGAAACTTAATATTAAGCATAGTGTGGCACTCTTTGTATAAAGCATGGAATATTAATATGCTTTCCTCTTATTCTGAGCATTCTCTTCAATCCTGTTTTTCC